AGTATGAAAATGGAGTTTTTAAGCTAATTACCTTCAGATATTAAATTGGAACTTTAAATGAGCATGGGACAAGCCTGCAAAGAAAGCTCTGAAAACATCCGCCCCAGCTGGTGCCTGTGCTGTGAGTGTTTAGTACATTTGCATTTGAAAAGACTTGTTGAGAGATGTTGGCTGACTGTAGAAAAAAGGGGAGCATTTTGCTATTTGGTATTTTGAGCTAGTGGTTTGCTCCTGAAGCTGGGAAAATCTGTAGCTATGAAACTCGGATCTAGGACTGTTCTAGGGCAGCCCGTGGCTTTGCTAGGTGACCACCTAGATCCACTTGTTCAGTGGAAGTGGGAGAAAAGCAGTTGAGTTTGGCCAGTGACACCTGTGGACCTGGTTCACAGGGACAGAGAGAAGGGAGCATGTTGGTTGGTCTGAAGTTTGAATAGTTGAGCCAGAACCTGAGCCCAGAGGGCTAGTGTTGAGAATTTGTAAAAGGACCCGTGGTCAAAAGGCAAGATGGCTAATGGGCACCCTGGTGAGGCTAAGGTAGGTGGCCCACATTGCTTTGACCAGCACCCAACCAGATTAAGATTTTTGAGCCTGTGAATTGGTGTACATATTGTTGCTGACTTTCTGGATGGCTTGTCCTGATTTGACTTTGTTTATGGATGTGAACTCACAAGGTTCCAAGTGGAATGAAGATGCTTCACATCAAAGAACACGCTTGTCTCCTCAGAGCGCTGGGTTGATATTAGTGGGCAGTATAGAAAATTGGACACCCAAAGTTGGGGAGATAAAGGCATGAAGTAGCTAGCTGGCTTACATAATTTCTTGGGTGGGGGAATATGTTCATAGGATTATGGTTTAGGTGTTTACATGACTGCACTTGTTAGGTATAGACTTTTTGTTTTGTTCACATGTACAATATTGTGCTTAAATGAGGCTGGCACATTTTGAGTTTTAGGCATTTTTAGCTTTATCCTCTTAGGAAGAAATATGATTCTACTATTGTCTGTTTGAAAGTTATACATGGCTAAAGAATAGTGTAAAAGTGCCAAATGACAAGGGCTGTTCTGTGGTAGTTAAATAATTTTGTGTTAACTTGAAGTGTAGGGGTGGAGTCTAGCCTGTCAATCAGGTGCCTCCTTGTGAGCTTGACCCCATACCCCCCCCCATACACACACACATATACATACTCACTCTACTTTCACCTTCCTGCTGTGGAATTGCTCAGAGCTGCCAGAGCCACCACCATTGGATCCACAAGACTTTGCGCCCACTGGCTGGTGATGTTCCTGAATTCTGCATCATTGCATGTGGCCCCATGAGTCTGAAGAGGGATTTAGGGATTTGACTTGGACTGCACTGGGATTAATTCTTGATACAAACATCTTAATACATAAATGAATGTCTCTGGATTTCTCTAGTCAACCTGGCTGAACAGTGGGGAACAAGTGGGAGAGGGACGGGCTGGACAGCCACTGTAGCCAAACCAGAGGCTGCATTTGAATTGTGAACGGGAACCAGCAGCTGGCCCCATAGCAGCATTTTAGGTACAGTGTGATATATATGGGCATTAGGGATGCAGTCCACAAATAGGTGGTTATTTATAAACAAAACAATTATATATGCTCTAACTAAACAGCGCAGTGAACATTTCCTCTCATGAGGAGGGGTTGTGAAGCCTAGTGATGTAGCTTGTTCTGAGGCTGCTAAATGCCCCTTGTACTGAAGATTAATAGGAAGCAAGGAATTTACCTAACTAGTCAACATTGGACTTGAATGTATTCTCACTTATTTTGATGAAAGTTGTGTGGATTTTATTCAGTATGCATGCGTTCAAGATGAGCTCACATTTTGTTTGCTTACCAGAGCCTGTAATGTGTTGAGTAATAGCTTTCATGTTCTTTGCTTAATTTAACAAATATACTTAAAGGATTTTCTATCCATACTTTTACTCTTCTTATAGTTAAATGAACTCAGCAGTACTAACCCTTGAATATTTACTCTGTCTAGGTATATTAGACTGCTTTCTTATATATGCTGAATTAGAAGAAAAACAGGCTATAAAACGATTTGTGTAAATCAAGCCCAGAAAGGGTTGGTCGCTTAGGATCAAAATGATAGCAGTCTAGGAGGATTAATAAACCAGCGGCCCCTCTTCAAGGCTGAGCTATCTGCTGTAGGAAGCACAAAAGGCCAAAAGGAAGGGAGTTGAGAGGTTGTAGGGGAAAGGGGCTTGATGCCCTCTAAAGACAGGTGTACTGACGTTTAGCACTAATGGAGTAGAAGTGGTTTTAAACAGATCCTGGAATGACTAAAATTGTTGTGGATAGGAGTGTATACTATCTTAGTTTGAGGGTGAAAGAACCTGGCAGTTTCGCAGCCTCTGGGGTTTCTGGGCCATATTCATGTTGAATGTTCTTCCCACTTGGTACAAGGCAGGGTTCCCAGAGTTCTGGACGATTCTCTAATATAAATACACTTGCCCCTACTGTGTGTCAGTAATGAACCCATATGCATTCCCCCTTACTGAGCTCTTTTTTAATTACAGTTATTCTTAGCCATAGCTAATATTCGTTGTCTTCAGATTAACTGTTGGATGAAAGAATTCCATGCAAGACAGCTGTTGAATATACTTAATCCAGGAATTTATAGTTATTTAAAAATATAACTAGCAGCCCCCCCTATTTTATCATTTTCTGAGATTTGAAGAAATCTCACCTATAAGTTTATACCCCCTGCCCCTCTTTTAATTCATTGAGATCTTTTCGGGAATGCTATAAAAAATTATTTCTCGTATCCCCCCCCTGAAATACTTTTTTCCTTTTTAAACAGTTTCATTGGTACATAATCCACATATGCAATTTAATAATTCACCCATATCAAGAAGTTAACAATCATTATTACCACAATCCGTTTTAGAACATTTTCTTCTTCTTGTACTCTTTTGTTATTAACTTCTCTGAAAAACATTGTGAAGGATATTTAAAGAAGCCTTCTGTCCGTCATGCGGGTTTTGACTCTGTCCAGAAAGCGGCTCCACCGGGCTGTTTGGGCCATACCCGTTGGGGTGTAGAGAACCAAGTGTTTCTCTGGAACAGTGTGGTAGGTTCAAAGTGCCAACCTGTTGGCCAGCAGGATTCCTTGTCTCACTGCTGTCAAGTCCATTCCTGCTTTAGAATGACCTTCAAAGACAGGGTAGAATGGTCCCTGTGAGTGTCCTAGCTGTTAGCAGCCCTATGCGCAACCCTGTGCCCTCTTCCCTATGCCACCAGGGCACCTCAGACTCTTTATAGAATTACATGAAACAAACGCACAGGTTTTTTTCCCCAAATGCCCAATTTAATGATTAACTGCACCACCACAGGTCTCCTTATAGGAGAAATCCCATGGAATAACTGCATAGTTTAATAAATTATTGTAAAGCAAACAATCCCTATTTCCATGACGGTGGTTAAGAAATAGACGATAGGTAGTGCCACAGAATCTCTTAACTGTTCCGGTCCGGTTACAAAAGCCACCTCTGCCCACCCCTCCAAGTAACTAGGATTCTGATTTCTGTCAAACTTAATACGTTTATAATTTTACCACCTGTTTTGTGTATGCATTGTGGATTTACTATTTTTGAACGTTGTAAATGAAATGATAATTGTATTCTCCACAGTGTTAATTACGTTTGTGCGTCCATCTTAGTTTGCTTATTTTTCACTGCTGTATTCTAGTGTATGACTGTTACATTTTCTTCATCTCCTACCGTAAGTGGGCAGTTAGGTTGCTTCTCCTTTTTTATGCTAAACTTTTTAAGATATTTAAAAACACTGGATTTATCATCAACATGCCTATAGGATGAAAGTCCTGTGAGCTTGGCCAGCCCATAGCTCTTACAGCTGACAAATCAGACATCATGCTGAGTCTCGAGTAAGGACTAGAGCCTGTCCTAAAGAAGACGGTTCATTACTGTCTGCTGTGTTTGGGGGGGATGTAAGTTTAAGAGATGACAAGTCTGCGTGGGGAAGCCCTTGGGTTTTTTGGGAACAATATTTTAATCTTTTATTGGACTGGATTTTCAGTGTTTTGTTGAAGAAAGTTCCCAGGAAGATTTAGTTTTCTCCTTGTTATCAAGTAAAGTCTGTCATTATAGTATGCAGTAAGATGTGTGCCTGCCTCCTTTATTATTTGCAAGACATTGTGAGGAGTGGTGTTAATTCTTTAGCTATTGTCAGAGAATTAACCTTGCCCCTTGGCTTTAATATGGTGGGAACACAGTTTTGGCTATTGAGTCAGCTCTGTTTTTATAAAGTTATTAAAATATTCTAATGTCTTTAGGTCATTTTGATAGTATCACCTTACAATTATTAGTTTAAAGTCAGTAATTAAATTACTTTTTATGAATATTCTAAAGATTTGTCCATTTTTCACATATTCAAAGACAACCTTTTAATTTATCTTGTGAACTGTAATGTTTTTTAGTTCTCCATTTTAAGTACCAACAGTCAAATATCTTACACTTACTTCTGACTATTTTGGTGGGTATAGTGTGCTCTTATTTTTCTATTATATTAGTATGTATGCTGAACGTTACCATTTTACTGCAGTGGTTCCCAGGCTAGTTCTAATCTGCTATTCTTAGTCTTCTTGGGAGAATGTGCATGCATAAAAAAAAAAAATCTTTTAAAAAAAGTTTTCCAGTGGTACAATCCATCTACAATAAACACAGATTCAGAATTATTTTACACTTGCTCTAGAATAAACTTTTTAAATCCAAAAGATGCCCAACTTCGGAATATATGTATTGCTTTCCAGTGGTTTACTATTGACTTATTTTAAGATACATTTGCATTACTACATACAATTGTTTCCTGTATTTAACAGCCTTCCTTTTATTTACTGTCATACATCTAGCTACAAAGAGTTTCAGGCTGACAGGCTACTGGGTGCCTTATTCTCTGTGAAAACTGAATGCATTAATTGGTTTTAAACATTTTTTCAGAACGTGTTTGAGTGCCATTTCAACACTCGGAAATAGTTACATTCATGCTTAAGTTACCATTTTCTGCAAAAAGCTTGGCCATTGTAGTGTCAAAGACTAGACAGTCGCTATTCAAAATGGTTGTTGCAATTCCATCATGGATAGATCGAGGAGTGGCTTCCCAAGCCAAACGCCGCCCAGGACTATTTAGCTCAAGCCGATAAGCAAAATTTTCAGCTTGCTCCTCTGTTCCTATCAGCTGTACAGTTCCAAAGAAGGGCTCGCTGCCCTCGTATCTCTCCAGCTTCTCCAATATTATCATGAACTGAAAGCCGAAACAGGACTGAATCATCACCCAGTCAATAGCACCAGGAAGATCGATGTCCATAGCTAGGAAAACGGTATCGGTTCCCTGCAGGGTGGTAATGGGCGTCTGATGGTGCATCAGATGGGGCACGACGGCATCCACGGAGCCTTGCCATTTGCAGGAGACACCAGGGAACGGACAGGAATAAGGCCTGAAGTCACAGAGCTCTTCGTGCCCTTCCTTTTCTGGGCATGTCAGGGCTTTTTCACATCCAGAAGAGGCATATTTACAAGGGAGGAGCCAGAAATCGGCTGCATTTTCCATAGCCTAGTGCGAAATGGATTGCAGTGCGTCCCAAGCGCTTGTTGGAGGAGGTTGTGGTGGTCGGCGCCGGCGCCTCTGGGGTGGTGGTCGCCGAGAAGTACCTGTTAGGGCAGCGCTGCTGTCACCGTCTGAAGGCTCGCTTCTGCGGCTGGAGGGAGGAGCAACACGGACCCCGGCCCACGCTCAACCGCTCAACCGCGCTCGCTCCATCGCCATCACCGCCGCCGAGCTCAGTCACCACGGACACACTGGCCGCAACTTCCTCCGCGAGACACTGGGCCTCTGACAGAGACGCTGGCTGCACTCGCGCCATGGCTGTGCCCGTCGAGAGCGTGCCCTGCCCCCTTCTGTGTCAAGTTTAGTTTCTAGTGGCTTCTCTGCAACCCCGGGCACTCGTGGACTTCTTGATGTCTATCTTCTTCCCCACGCGTGTGTCCCCGAGTCTGTTCTGCTTTTGTGATGTGGAAATGAATACAAATGGTTAAACACCTGGCTGCTAACTGAAAGGACCTGGAGATCTGCCCCTGCCAAGAAGGCAA